GGCCACGCTGGCGCGGGCGGTGACGAGCTGGTGCCTCCAGGGAGGCTCAGAGGGATGCCCGCGCTGTTCCAGGCGGGCACAGGGGGTGTCCGTATGGCCATTGTCCCCTTGTGCCTTCGTGTCACTTAATTCCCCACCTGGCTTGTGCCGCCTTGGAAGCCCTGAAGTGTTTCCTGCTCATTGAACAATGTATATCGGGTTTTACTGTGGAGCTGACACAAGCGAAGCTATGGTGAATGAAGTCCGTGTCTCATCTCCAGAAACTGCTGTACTGAGAGCGGTGAATCTGGCCTGGTGAAAATAAGACCTTTTATGATGAAAATGAGATCCTCTCTCTGGACTTCTGTATTAGTATAGTTGTGTCTGTATTTGCAGGAGTGGGGTAAAAGGCAAAAGTATTTCACTTTATGTCTGTAACACACACAAATGGATGTCAGCGCTTAAGAAATCAGAAAACACTGTTCTTGTTCTCGCACTGCAGGTTTTTAGTTCTTTCTAGCTGTTCTTCTTCCTGGGTTATTGGAAAAGCTGAGAAGCTCTTTCATCTTTCCTTTTTCATGTTTTCCTTTGCAGTGTGCTGAGCTTGCTGCCTCTATGTCTGCTCTTGTCTGACTTGGATGTAAAAGGTGCAAGCAATGTGGTTTTATTTCTTTCTGGTAGTGGCTTTTAAGTCCACTGAAGTTTTTAATGTATTTCCCACTGAAAGTTGTTAATGGAAGCATTTTAGCAAAGTTTTACACTTAATGAAAACGACTGTACAAAAAAGATGTAAAAACATCACAAGGAAGAATGTACCTATTAAAAATTACTAGAGCCATGCTCAAGAAAGTAGATTTTTATTTATCAGAAAGATATTTTTGTTGTTGCTCTTGATCTGTAAATCCTCAGTTGCAGCAACAGGTAGGGGTGTTTGGAAAATAAAATTGCAGTGTTGCCAGTTACTGACTTAATAGGCTATTTGTATAGATGAATGGATAGTTGCACCTATTTAAATTTAACTGTGTTTTGAGAAATAGTAAATAGTCTTTGTTTTTAGTAACATATGGAAACAATTTTCCTATTGCAAACCATGAGGAGGACTTAGGCATGATGACACAAGACTGGTTCTTCTATAGCCGTGTTAAGGGGGCACATTTCTGACAAGTGTCTTTTCTGCTGCCATTAGTGTTCTTGAAGTTGTGTGGTAAGTTGATTAAAGAACTGATTAGTCTGAGAAACAATCATATTGTTTCATATCCTTTTGTTAAGAGGTCCCTCTAGTACCCCTGTAGGTACCAAGGGAGCTGTGGATAGTATGTCAGTGAGGTGATACCTGCCTTTAGTGGCAGCACATGAGGATGCCAATTTAAACTGACTGTAACTACAGTCTGAGTGTCCTCATCTGCCCTGGTAGTCATAATTTCTAAGCATTGTTGAATTCTGCTTGTCAGCTTAAGTAGATGGTGCTGGTTATTTTAAACTTGGTATCTGTCTCTTGCCTGTTTATTTTTAAGATAATACCTGTTTTCAGTAGTAGAAGTTGGAAGGTTTGAAAATATTATGCTGTATAGTTTGCTTGGATTTACATTCTTCTTGGAAACTGTCAGTACTCAAGGGCACTTCTGATAGTTTTTTTACCATTTTAGTGGGAAATTGATTTTACACTGACAGTCATAGGCAAACAGATTATTTTGTCAGTATGAGTCAGTTTCTGCCTTAAGGTGCCTTAACAGTGATATTACTTAGGTGATTGTGACTTTCCCTTTGGAACATCTGTCTCTTTTAATCCTATTTTTTTCACACTTTTCAGAAAAAAATTGCACCCTACTTTCTTGTAGAATTGAATTTTTTGGAATAAGTGAGGTAAGGAATGGTAGAAAGGGTGAATGCTGCACTGGGAAACAAAATTAAATGTTTTTTTATGCAGTACTCTAGACTACAAAGCTAAGCTTTCACAGGTCTTTATGGACTTCATTTTTCTGTTATTTGAGATGATTAATTTTTAATTGCAGAGTACTAGAACTTACAGCTCTAGCTATTGGAAGATGAGTCCTGTGATGAAGATGTAAAATCATGTTAAATTCAAGACATTGATAAAAATGGCACGGATCTCTTATATTAAATGCCCAAATTTGCTTTTAGTTCTTGTCAGAATTGTCATTGTACTGAACTGTACATTGTACTGTCATTGTTCACCTGTACTGAACTTTCCAGTAACATTTTTTGTGGGAAAAAGAGGAGGGGCAGGACAGTTATAGCAGTTACTTGTGAAGGAAAGACACAAGGAATTGACTGTGCCAGAGAGGAGAGTGGTGTGGAAATCAAGCAGTCTGTATTCAGGATAGTGATGCCATTGTATATAGTGCACTGTTGGAGAATGCTGAAATACATAATGAGAATAAAAGGAATTACTGAGTAGTAGATCCATGAAAATAGTGAATAAGGCAGTGGTTGTGGACAAGGTTGCAAGCGAGGACTTGTGAAGTGATTTATGGAAGTATGGGCAGATTTAACTCTCGTCTTCAATTTATTTTCCAAAATGTATCATCTGTTATTGTGTTTTTGTTTTTTTTTTCATTACAGTCTAATGCTTTGAGATTTCCCCAACACCCACAGCTCCTGTTCCCCCAGTAAGCTTGCAGGGTGTGCAAAAAAATCCGAAACTAAGTGGGTGTCTTCTCAGCAAGAGAGTTACTTAGATTTTATTTCTGGACTGCTGTAGAGAAGGAGTTGTTGAAGTTGTTTGCCCAAGAATGAATGAAATACATTCTTGTAGAAATACATTCTTGTAGAAATACAGCATATCTGGTAACCATTGCTTCTGCTGAAATGATAAGAATGAATATATTATAAAAAGTGAAATTCAGGTCTTCAGGATATACTAGTAAATCAGTTTTGTGATGAGTTTAAGATGTATGGAATAAGAGCCTGTAGTTTAGGCTCAGGAGCAGACACCTAAAATATTAAAAAAATTCTAAAGAGATATAAGCAATTTTAGGAAATGTTTTTTACTGGGAACTTCCTCATAATCCAAAAACTTTTAACAAGCTCTGCTTTTAAGGTCCCTAGGAAATTGCAGTTCTCCCTGAGGTACTAGGGTAGCAATAAGAAATAATTTATGCTCTCACTTATTTTACTGTAATGCCTTGTTATTTCCTGGCTGATCAACCTGAATGTGGAATGTTATCTATTAGTACAGCTGTGTTTGCTTCTTACATGCTGTGAGATGACAGCCTGGTTATTTGAAAGACTGTTTATGGATTGCAAACTTTGCCTAGAAAACTAATCTTCAATAATTTAAATTTGGGAGCCCAAATATTATTTTTTAAACATAGACATATTCCAAAATGTTGATAAATTTGTATGTCTTTCAGTGCTTACTGTTTTGTAACTTGGTGAGGTCTGAATATTTCAGTTAAAGAGAAATTTGCTCTATGTGTTTTATATTGAATGGAAGAGAAAATTCAGTCATTGCCTACTCTAATTAATGCTCAGTATGTCATGCTCTATATTTCTTAAAGATATAAGCATGATTGCTTAGTTTGAGGATTTGTTTCTGGATCTTTCCTTATTAGTTATCCTTGTTCTCTTCTCAATATTATATCTTTTTTCTGTTTCTTACTGACAAATACTTTTATCTCCTCTTACAGATAAGAATATACATCCTGAGTTGTTTTGTATTCCTTTTTTCTGTGTTTGGAGAGTGCTTGCATTTGTATAATGACTGTAGTTGCTCCTTCTGCCTTAAGTAGAGCAGGCCAGGTGGAAATGTTATGTAAGATGGTATGGAGTAGAGGTGGTTATCTGAGTGGCCATGTTACATAGTGCAAATTGATGTAAAGAGAGTTGGATTTTTTTCAGAAATTGTTTGGTTTTCTTGATGTTTCTGAAACTTTCATAAACAATCTTTATGTAGCTTAGCACTTTAGATATTAGCATAATATGTTGCACATGAACTGTTTTGACTGCTGGGCACTGCAGATCGTTGTGGCATTTATTTGACATAAAAAGAATGATTTATAATAACCTACAGGAGAACATAATCAGAAGTCAGTGTCTTTTGTTACTACCCAAAGACTGAGGCAAAGATGGATCAATAGACAATCTGTAGCACATTTTCTTTATTGCATCTTGGCATTTAAATTATTTGGCGTTATAGCCTTTTCTAGCTTATGCAGTTAAAATAGACATATGAAGTAGTGAGTAATAGCAAATACATAAAGAAATTGTAGCCAACTTAAATTTAATCAGTGAATGTATGTATGAATATTGTATTTAGGTTAAAATGTGTGACATGCTGTCTGATGATTTTTATCATAATTGCAGCCAAGAGGCAACAGAAAACATGGTGCATCATTTATCATCACTAGAGCAATTGCAGGTAAATATGACTTGTTCTCACATTCATGACTTCTAACACTGTGTGGATTACATGTAAATTTTACAATTTCTGCCCTTTATAGAGTGTCTACTGTAATGGAGATAGGGTGTAAGATGTGTTTTCAGGGAGATGTTTTCTGACTGTGAACATGTCCATGTTATTTTTATGTCAATTTTGTAAGCGTTCTTGTCTCAATTAGTTTGTTGGGACAAACTAATAAACCATACATCTAAGAAGTTAACAAGCTTTGTGTTTTGCAAACTGTACTTAAGCCTTTTTTTTTTTCCCCCTCTCTGAACATCTCTTGCACTGGGCTGTTTGCTAGTTAGCTCTATGAGGGGCTATATCTGAATATCTGATGATATTGTGTTGTATAAACCAAGTGTTGAATGACAGTAACTGAACTGATTTTCATCCTGTAGGAATTTCTCTTAGAATTCTAAAAAGTGTGCAGTGATTTTTTATTTTGTTTGTTTGGTTTCTTCATTTGTTTTTGATTTGCTGTTTGCATTTACTCTAACATAAGAATTCCTTGGCCAAGTAATAGAGGGTTTTTGCCTCAATACCTTTTTCTTTATTGAGCCTTTGAGATTCCCAGTGCATTAAGCTGGAGGGTGTTTTAAGACTGAGATAGAGATGTAATTTTTACCTTTTCCCACTGTAGGTCCTGCATTGCTTTTGCTTCGGTACATCTGGTACAGGTAGGTTTTATGAGAGTACTGCTTAATTTTCCTATTTGCTAATATTTTTATAGCTTTTTGATTTGATGGAAAGTAATGCTTAATGGGAGTAAAACTGAACACTTGTTTAGAATATTGTCCAAGCTATGCTTAGATTGGCCTCTTTGCATAAATTGAGTTGTAGCTGCTTAAGTTGCATCTGAAACCTAAACAGAACAAGACTGATATATACTAGTTTGACTTTGTGCATTTATCAGAAGTTGAAGTAACCTTGCAGTTGGAACAGGTTTTTCCAAACACCTATCTGTCCTCTCTACTCCCAGCTGAGATAGTGCAGGAGAAGCTGTTGTCGGGTTTTTCTTAAGTGTCAGTGACAGATATGATGGTGCAACACGGTTTGCTTCCTTTAGAGTAATAATTTTGAATTCTTTGACAATTCAGACTCATACAAAAAGCTTGATAACTTCTTGAGCGGTACTCATGCCATTTATAAATTTAAGCTTTGATTCAAAAAGTCATTAAATGGTCCCAGAAATATATTGGGGTAAGTACAATGTTTCTGGAAAATGTCAGTGCTGTGGTTATACCACTTAGCAGGTTTGAAGGTACCAGTTACCCCTTTTAAAAGATAATCTGTTGGTTTTGAGTTATATGGAAAAAGATGTTAATATGACTTCCTGTGAAACAGTACTGCACTTGAATTTGGCAGGGAATGCTGTTTTCCCTGTTACTGGTGTTCTGCTTTATTTCTGTGCACCTATTCCCCCCACCCCCCAACCCTTTTCTTGTGAGGGGGTGATGTTTATCGGCACCATACTGTCATGTAAGTCTAGTTTAAGGGATTCAGTTGTAGACAGAATTCACTTACTTTTCTCCACTCCCTCCAGTAGTCATATTTAAGAGCTAGTTTCAAGCTTTTATAATTTTTTCTAGTTGCTGTTTTCATATATTTGATGAAAGAGTTTTGAAGGAAGCTTGGGAAACCTCTAGTTTCAAGTCCCACTAAAAGCAGAAATCTGAATTCCAACTGGTTCCTTGGGGCTCTGTCCAGCTAGGTCTTGGAAAGATTAAAGGATGGAGAACCCAGACTCTCTGGTCAGCCTGTTCAAGTGCCTGACTGCCTTCATGGTGAAAAAATCTCGTAATGTCAGCTTGGACCCTCCTTGGTTTTGGAATTACAGAAACATTTAGGTTGGAAAGAACCTTTACAGTCATTGAGTCCAGCTGTTACCCCAGCATTCCTAAGTATTCCAAAGGATTGATCATAGTTTCTTGTGTTTCTGCTGTGCACCTCTGTTGCTCCCATCTTCCTGGTAATCTCCTAGGTATCAATCAGAATGCTGCTGTTTTGTTATCCTGAAACCTTCCCTTCTTCAGGCTAAACAAGTACAATTCCCACAGCATCTGATTCATTGTAGGGCAAGTCATCCAGTCCCCTGATCATCTTGGTACCCACCCTGTTTACTGGTGTTCTGGTTTTAATGGGTGTCCCAAAACTGGCTGGTGACCAGCATATAAAGAGTGATAAATAAATGATCAGTTCCCTTAATATGCAGTTTCGTTCTATTAGTAAAAATAAGGCTGTTGTTAGCCTTTGTCGTTGGCAGGGTGCAGTGTTGATTCATGTTCAGTTGCAAACCCTCTCAGGTAATTGATGGTTGCCTTGAAGCTGAGTTGTCTGGCATGTGTATATCAGGTACTGCATTTGTTCACTGTGTGTTCTGATTCAGCCTAATGGATTTGGTATTTCAGCCCTGCAAAGTTTTCTCTGCCTGCTGGACTGGTTCGTCTGGTTAGTAAGCAGATCAACTGGCACCTCGTACTTGCAAGGTAACCAGCTCCCATGCTTTGCCATTTCTGACAGGAGTGACTGTATTAACACTTCCTCTGCTTCCCCCCACCATCCCCACTGATAGCTGTGCTGAGTTGGTATTGTGCTAAAGATGTGTTATTCTTTCTGGCCAAGGGAAATACTCTGGGCTCTCACAGGTGGCCTCAGTGTGCTACCTAGGGGCTTCTACCTGCTTCCCTTCAGTTAGTTCACCTCTCACTCAGGGCTGAATGTCTGTCTAGCTTTTGAGGCAAAGTGGCTTGCAGTGCAGTCATTTTCAAATTCAAGTCCTGAATGTGGTTCATTAAAGAACCACATTACAACTTGGCAGGATATATAATTTTAAAAGAAGCAATTTATATTTTTGGAAAGTGAATGCATACCCTCAAGACTTGTCTGCTATGGCATACACAGAGAAGTGAGAATTCCAGGGCTGTTCTGGAGGAATTTTGGCAACTTCAGTGCCAAAATTCATTACTGGCTTTTAAAAGTAAGCACAAATATGCACAAAAAAAAGGTTCAGTGACATGATTACATGAAGGTAGTAGGGGAGGCTTTAGTTTGTTGTATGCAAAGACGCATTACTTACTGAGTTATGATAGTTGTTTATATCAGATAAAACAATACATAGTTTTGCACGTTGCTGTTTAAAATTACCTGTAATCAACATCTGGCTCTGACTTCCCATGCAGTGGGATTTTAAACATTGTTTTCTTGGTGCTGCTGGAAAAGAGTGGCAGATAGTTTTCTGTGAAATGAATATCATGGCATGGATATTTTATTTTTAATAAAAACTGGTGTTTCCCATTTTATTTTTTTTAAATATTTGTGAATGAGGCAATTTATATCTGACCATGGAGAAAAGCACCTAGGACTCTGATGCACATTCTGTAAGGAGTGGACTTTACATGAACTTTCACATCTGTGTTTTCTTTCAGCAATGGTAAATTGTTGGCGGTTGTTCAAGACCAATGTGTAGAAATCAGGTAACTTGGCATTATCTTTTACTTCAGCTGTGGAGTTCTGAGAAAGTGTCTCTGGTCATTTGCTAGCAATATGTTAAAAGATTTTTTTTTTGTTTTGTTTTACGATGTTAAATATTGTGAAATTTATCCATAGAATGATCATAAAAGCAGAAGCCTTCTGTTTCTTTTTAGTTCTCAGCAATCCCCCTTTTAAAAAAACAAAACAAAACAAAACCAACATAAACCGCCCTCCCCAGTTATAATAGATGTGTTTATATATCTGTATCTCTCTGTTTTCAAGATGCAAAAGAAAAACAATCAAGATCCTAAAAAATACTCAGCACAAATTACAGTCTTCCTAAACTTTGCCTTTCTGCCCCCTCTAGAAATTCTCCCCTAATAAATGGGACAAGGAGCTGATATCTAGTGTTCTTTGTGGAGTAGCTGGCATGTGTAATACTTCACCTTATTTTACAAGTGGTGTGGATTGCCGTAGAGACTGATGCTTTCCCTTTTCTTGTGCTCTCTTAACAGCAAGCTCTCCTTTACCAGTTCAAGAGCACATTTAGCTGTAGAACAGATCTTGATTGAGTGTGTTTACTTGCTTCACAAAAATCCATTTGCTAGAAGGTCAGACCTTCCATTTATATGTAAAAGAAGCAAGTGTATGAAAATTGTTCAATCAAAAGTGGTGTGAGCACCATAAACGTCAGCTTAAAGACTATAAAATAAATCTTGTGTTTCAACTGTATTAATGTAACTATATTCTTGCATTGTTTCTAAAATTGTAACCTAGAGAATACTGACTAGGTTTTTTTTTTTTCTCAAGTTATATGAAGCACTAAAATGATGCTGTCCTATTTCGTACGGCATTACAAATAAATGAGGGATGTTGCTATTTATACAGTTGGAGGAGAGCCTCTAAAATACTATTTTAGTTACTGTAGCTGCCTAAGGGTGAAAGGTACTATCTGCTTTTTTGAACAAGTAGAGGCATGCAGGCCTTTGAATTGTGCACTTGGAATATTTTTCTAGTGTTTTGTTGCAGAAAATTGAATAATGGGATTTTTCATATCTAAATTCATATGAATATTTTTTTTTTTTTTGCAGGTCTGCAAAGGATGACTTTGTATCCATAGTTGGAAAATGTCAAGGTATGGCAACCTCTTCATCATTACTTAGTGTCATCATTGTTTGTTATTCATACATTGCTAAATAGTGGTGTTGGTTTACTTTAACAATAGTGATAAAATTTGTTAAAATCATTTGAAAGAATCTCCTAATAGTTTTGCTTTGTGACTAGCTCTGTTACTCTCCCTCTGCCACTTCTCTCCTTGATGATCAATACATGAAACCTGAATCTGAATCTGAAATGAAATGATAGTTAGAATTAATGCCTCTGGGAGACAATATGGGGTTTTTCTTTTTTACCCTCCTCTGAGATATGCTTGTTATGCTGGTAGGGCCCCCTGCATTTTTTTTTTTTAATGCAATTACCTTTTTGTTCTATTTAAGGGATTATATTCATTTTTTGCTTTTATCAACAATTTTATTTGTTTTTCATAGTGCCAAAGGATCCTAACCCTCAGTGGAGGAGAGTGGCATGGAGTCATGATTGTACATTACTTGCTTATGCTGAAAGCAGTGGAACAGTCAGAGTGTTTGACCTGATGGGTAGTGAGCTTTTGGTCATTTCACCGGTATGTGCTCTCTTGGGTTAAATACAAATATAGTAGAACTTTTTTTAAGGATCATGCATAAATTCCACTCTTTGACCCTTTTCAAATCATGGCTTGTTATAAATGAATACTGTGCAGAAATGAACCGTAAAAAGTTCCAGTGGAATACATCCATCATACAATTAACAAAAGTCATGTGCAACCCTTACAACAGCACAAACATTTTACATCTGTTTTGGAATTGTGGTAGATCTGTAGGTGCATCAGATAATGAAACTATGGAATCGCCACAATTTGTAGTAATAGATCATAAATCTGCATTTTATATGCAGAGTCAAATTTAAAATCAATAAATATTGCTTACTTTGCTTGGTACAGTATTAGATAATGGCTGTTGACAGGCCACACACGTTATATTTTCTATTTTATGTGTTCAGAGGGTGTATTGAACAGGTCTGTGAAGGTGGCTCAAGTGTATTTCCTCAATAGATTGTCTTTGCAAACTTTATAGTAAAAATATTTCTTTAAAATCAAGATAAAAGAAAATGTATTTCATTTGTAATACAAGCGATGATAATTTAACTTTCTAGTTCTTTCACTGACAAAGACATTTGTTTAAAATCCTCTTTCTCTCCCAATGCCTGCCTCCATTTTTGGGTAAAGACAGCAAGTTTTCCAGGTGATCTGAGTTACGCTATAGCTGGATTGATCTTTCTAGAATACAAAGCAAGTGCCCAGTGGTCAGCTGAACTCCTTGTTGTTAATTATCGTGGAGAGCTGAGAAGTTACCTGGTAAGGTAAGCATAAATTTTGACTTGCTTTGAGAAGGCACAGTGAACTTCAAAGGAATTCTTTCTACTTTTAAAAGAAAATAAATCTGAACTAATGCATATATTTTTTTTTCCCTGGCATACTTAGTGTTGGAACAAATCAAAGCTTTCAAGAAAGTCATAGTTTCAGCTTTAGTAGCCACTATGCCCATGGGATAACAACTGTCATTTATCATCCTGGTCACAGGTAAGCATTCTGTTTGTAGCTTACAGTGTAAGCTATCTGGCATTGGAATGTAAATGATGAACAAAACATGGCAAAATAAACATTGAAGTGAGTTGGATAGGGAGGGGGAGAAAAATCTATTCTAAAATTGCATCAGTCATAACAAGTCATGTTTCTTTCTACTATAAAAGAGTTGCTATGAAGTTCATCTCACTTGACTTTCACTATTCCATTGGTAAAATTATGTCCTTTTGTGTTTGTGTACCTTGTGTAAGCACCATGCATATTTTAGAATGTCAGGAATAGCTTTAGAAGAAGCTTCTGAATGTGATGAAAGATGGGTAAATGCTGAAGTATAAGTTCAGGTGTTGGGTGTTTGTTTGGTTTTGTGCGGGTTTTTTTTGGGGTTTTTTTTTGGTTTTTTTTTTCCTTCTCTATCTGGAGTTGATTGCTGGACTTGTTGGCCAACCCATTTTCCTTACTGTTATGACTGGACCTGCCAGGCTTTGGTATTTGAAGTTGTCTTGTGATGTGTTTTCTTTATTAATAACCTGTTTGGTACAGAAACTGGACTTGAAGTGACTGCCTGCCTGCTCTAGAACCCAGTGTAGTTGGAATAGGTCCTGGTTAGCCTATTAGTTACCATAAAAATGTGTCTACTTTTTTAATATCAATTTGTTATGTTGCAGGATAAACTCAGCAACTCTGTTTCTCTCTCCCTTCAGTTGTAGGAACTAAACTTTGTTCTAGATATTTTTCTTCAGTTAGATTTGCTAGGATTGAATCTTTCAGTGTTATATCACTGTATTGTTTTAAATAGAGATTAGGCTTGGCTATAGAATACCAGAAGAAACTCAATGTTGAAAGAACTTGTTCTCATTCTTCAGTGTTAAGTAAGCTGTCATATCTATCTTAGGAAAAAAAATTATTATTAATGAGATATAATGTTCTTCTAGCTTATTTTGAGAGATTAATTTTGTGTATGACTTTTTCTTTCCACCTAATTAATATTTAGTGATTTCACATAATTAATAGTATACTAAATTTACAGTTTTTAGGTAATAGTTGTGGGTTATGGAACTCTGGTAACACTACATGACCAGACAACAGAACCAACCCATTGTTTCCTTTGATCAGACCAGGGTTGATGGTTGTTGTATTTCCTGCTATGTGCAGCTAGTTGATTGGCTTAGTAAAGCTGAAAGGTTGAAAAGTTGAAAGTATAAAAATTGACATGTGAAAGAAACAAAATTGGATGGAAAACAAAAGAACCAGTGTTTTGCCCCTGTTGGAGGAAAGTCTTCTATTTTGAATTGAGTCTGTGGTAGAAAGCTTGTAAATTTGGCATTGGAGAATTCTAAATTTGCAAGTAGAATCTCTTGCTGAAATTTCCTTGTTACCTGAAAAAATCCTAGAAGGGCTTGAACTCAACTACTTCAAAGTTGTGCATTAAAGAAAATGATTGATAAATGCTGAACTTCTAATTTTCAATAATGTGAACTTTGATCACATAAACTTTGTCATTTTGTGCTTTCTTGCATTTCATTTAATCTCAGATGATGAAATTATACTGATGTCCCTTCATCCCTTCACTGCTTGTAAGGCTTGACTTATGCATTACTGTATTACTATGTATTTGCTCGTGGCCCATTATTGTGCAATAAAATAGCAGTTAAGAACTTAATTTACTTAATTTTTTCAACTAGGTGTATGATAATTGCAAAGAGAGTATGTCAATAGGGAATGTTTCTGAATCTGCAGGAAAACTTGAAGCAGTAGCTTTGGGAAAAAAATCTAATAATGCCTTTTACTGTTTTTAAGTATTATATATCTACCTTAATTTAGATACCTAATGTTGGTGTTCTCACATGATCCCACTGTCATCTGGGATGGAATTTATGGTGCATTTTAGTTAACAAAACTTAATTGTCTGCTTCAGTGTGAGATTTTTGTAAACTCGGATCCAAAATTCAACAGCTGCTTTTGTTTTGGTATCTTAATCTGGAGCTGAATGTCTTATTTCTGGATTATCTGCAATTGATATTAAAGGCTAAAGTTTGCAATGAAGGGCTTGTGATGAAAGAGTTAAAGGGTTTTAGATTTATTTAAATTTTTTTTGTATCAAAATTGCGAAGTAAGGAAGAACATGTGGAGTTTTGCTTGGATGCCTCAGCTGAGCTTGTTCTTGAGACCAGTGTTACACTGGTTATCTTCAATTCAACTTTGTACAAACCTGTGGAGTGGTGTACAACTGAGTACTGCAAGAGCAGCCTGTTTGGGACTGGAGGAACTCTTGGAGATCATCCAGTCCTTTCCCTTTCACCTCAGGGTGAGTTGGAGCAGGTTGCTTGGAGCCCTGTCAGTGCAGTCCAAGACCTGCACATCTGTGTCAAGGTCTCTAAGGTGCTGGAGACTGAGCCTGGCAGCGCATCACTGTGATTGTTTAGGACATACAGAGACAGCTTCTGGCCATCATCTTCTGCAGAATCCTGCACTCTAGGCGTGGCATTTACACAGGTTGTTTTCTAGGACTTGTTGAAAGGGTTCCTGGCCCATTAATCAGGTGTCCAACTGGAACAAAAGCTCAAAGCACCTTTTGATAAGGAACAGCTGGCAAACCTAGCTCAAAGCTTCCAAAACTTGCTAACTAGCTCTTCCTGGCAATGACAGGCATTGTGAAGTTCCTCAAAGGCCTCCCAGGAGTTGTCTGGTATTCTCAGGAGTCCTCAGATGGTCCCAGAAGTATGTAGATGTTTAAGGATATAGAAGTGAAGCCTGGAAACAGCTGCACAAACTGGTGCATGCTGGCTGTGCTCTGTGTAGAGCACCTCTGCGAGAAAAAAAATTGGGCTGCCTCATGTTCATGTCCTCCAGTTTTTGGTAAAAGTGATTTCTGACTTTACTGCCTTAGGCTATTCTTTACACTGCAGAATAGCCAAAACTCTTAAGAACTTTAAGCATCACTCTCAAGAGAGATTTTACCACTTTCTACAACCACCCTAAAGATGGTTGTAGCCAGGTGGGGGTCAGCCTCCTCTCCCAAGGAGCCAGTAGGACATAGAAGATGACGCTTAAGCTGTACCAGGGGAATTTTAGGTTGGACATCAGGAGGAACTACTTCACATTAAGAGTGATTAGGCTTTGGAATGGGCTGCCCAGGGAAGTGGTAGGGTCACCATCCCTTGATCTGGTCTAGTTGACATGGTAGTGTTTGGTCATAGGTCGGACTTGATGATCTCAGAGGTTCTTTTCCAGCCTGATGATTTCCAGCCAGTTCTCTCATTCATCCATGGTACAAAATCATCCAGCTGTACATTTGTGACTAGCAGGAGACATGGCAATACTAAATAAGTTTTACTGATGTCTTAAAAAGGATTAAATGTGGAAGGATTTTTTTTTTCCCTTTATTCTTTCTTTGACTTTTGCATTTATAGTTTTGGCATTCCCTGCAGCCAGAGCTGTGCTGTGTGAGCGGCAGCTGCTACTGGGGGCAGAGCACTTAGGGAATGGTGCAGCCTTTGGAAAGGGATAATGGGTAGAGCTTTGAGCTCCTACAGTTGTGCCTTTTGGTAGATACTTTACCTTTTGATGGATGATTCATTATAATGATGCTAGCAAACAAACTTAGACATTATTCTCCAAGTTTTCATCAAAGTAGTCATCAGTTAAATATAGAAGTGCTTGTTAATAAGGTGAAAGGGCTTCAAGGGAAAATACTTTGATACAGTTTAGTGGTCATCAGCAATAATTATAAGGTTTGCCTAAAAGTTCTTAAAATGCCACCTGTGGTGTGTAACGAAATTATTACATGCACACGTATAATTGTGGCTTTAGAAAATAGAATTGACAAACCTTAAGGTGTTTAGTCCTTCAGTGAAAGAGAAGTAGCTTTTGTACCACATCTGAAGAAATGGAAATCTAATGCTTAAGCAGAATGATGAGACCTTGTCATATGCTTAAGCGGAATTTATCGTTTTTGGAGGTAAGGGGGAAACACACACTTGTGGCCAGACTTATTTTTTTTAGATGTTGGGAATTGTGACTTACCTTGAAAGCTAGAGATGAAAATGAATAGGTATACATGCTACTAATAACAAATGTTACTTGAATAATATTGAAGTAGTTTTTGGATTTCAGGGTATTTATTCACAAAGTTTCTTGTGACTGTTAAGTGTCTTGGTATATTTAGCCTTTTGTTACTCTAAGCAAGCTGCTATAGGAAAATAAAAAAAGGTGTGTCAAGGTGTGTTTATTTTCCTACTTAGGAAAATAAAAAAAAGTGTGTCAGTATGTGAAATCATAATGTATCTTTATATATTTTACAGACTTCTCCTTGTAGGAGGCTGTGAAACAGATGAAGATGGAGTATCTAAAGCAGCTGGTTGTGGGATATCTGCTTGGAGAATTCTGTCAGGCTCTCCCCATTACAAACAGGTCACTAGTTACGAAGATGATGTTAGAACAGTAAGTATGTGTCCTCATTTTACTGGATGAATATTGTCACTGGAAGCTCAATAAGTATCTCTTTATGAAAGATGAATTTAATGTGATGTTTTGCTATTTTTTAAGCTATGATCTGTATATCTAAACAGCTCCTTTTCCCACAGCATCTGACTGTTTTTGATTTTTCTGTAGTATGATTTGAACTTTAAGTTCTTAATTGTGGTTTTAAAACCAAAAACAAGAAGAAAGAAATCTGTAAATTTCCAAGCTACAATAATTTTTTTTGTCTTGGTTGTACATCGGGATATGTTACCTGTCTTTGTTGGAAAAAAATCAGTTTGTTCTTCTATTACTTCAGAACAAAAGGCAACACACCTGAAATAAATGTTTCAGTTTAATTCTGTCTCTTGATTTGTTTTGCTTCTATTAGAAGTAAATGTTTGATTTGGTAACAACTTGGTTCTACTGAAATCAATTTACAATATACCAGGATAAATTCCAGTCTTTGCTCTTATATAGGTGTTGCTTAGTATTACAAGCAAATTGTTAATTTAATTGCAAATGAGTAGTGCTTTTCTGTGACATGTTATATACCCACTGAAGTGGACAGAATTATACAAACAGGATTTTATTATGTTTGCATTATTTTAAAGTAGGCAGTCTTATGGAAGTTTAAAAATAGTAACATCGTAGAATATGCCACAGTTGGAGGAGACCCACAAAAAGCATTGACTCCAACTCCTGGCACTGCACATGACACCCTGAGTCACATCATGTGCCCAAGAGTACTGTCCTGCCTGTTCCAGTGCCCAATCGCCCCCTGGGTGAAGCAGCTTTTTCCAGATAATCCAACCTAACCCTCCCCCAGTGCAACTTCAGGCCATTCCCTTGGGTCCTGTCCATGGTCACCACGCAGCAGAAATCGGTGTCTGCCCCTCCTTTCCCTCTCATGATGAAGTTGTAACTGCAGTGAGGTCTCTCCTCACTCTACGGGCTCAACAGGCCAAATGACCTCAGCTCCTTCCCTCAAGGCCCTTCACCATCCTCATGGCCTTCTTTGGACACTCTAAGGGCTTAATCTCTTTCATGTATTGTAGCACTGCTGACTCATTCAACTCCTAAGTCCCTTTTCCCAGTGCTGCTCTCATTCCCCACTCTGTGCACACAGCCAGGGTTGCCCCAGATACACAGTTTGTCACTTGGCCTTGTTAAACTTCGTATGGTGGGTGATTGCCCATCTCTGTTTTGTCAAGGTCTTTCTGCAGAGCCTTTAAAGAATCTTTCAGAGTTATTTTAGTGTTTTAATTATTACTTAATTTTTGGTGCATAAAACAGTGTATGAGATTGTTTTTCATTGTGTGATTTTTTTCTGTTCTTAACAGGCACAGAGAAGAGGATTATTAAGGATTATGAATTTAAGATTTTACAGCAGACGAGGAACAGAACAGGTATTAAGATCTAGGTCTACCTCAGCTATGTATTTTACTGACATAACTGTCCATTAATGACTACTGAGAGACTGACTGAAAGTAGGTTTTAATTTATGCAACTTAGGAATTAACAGTCTATTAAATTAATGGAAAAGCTTTAGCTTTTGGAGTGGCTTGCCACTTATTTGACTTTCTTAAAAATCCAGTTAGTTCATTTGCTGAAGCTTGAATCACTGGGTTTCAGGAACAGGTTTAGAGATGTAAAGTTAAGTATTAAATGTAAAACCTTATTCAAAAAAGAAGGTATAAGAAGCCACCTAATTATTTGTTAATGAATGTGATAATCAGATCATGTTGGATGTGTTATATATTCTACAAGAAGAACGTAGATTGTGGTGATGTTTCTCAAATATATACCCAGGTGATAAAGAATGAGAACAAAATTCAGCTTTCTGTACTACACCTATCCCACTAGAAAACAATAAAAAATCGTCAGCCCACAGTTTTCATGCCATGTGGGGAAGAAAAAAATGGATGGATTCAAACTAATTATTCATGGCTCAAATAAGACAGACACAAGGACTTTATTTTTACAGTCTGAGATAGTATGGAAACATTTTGCTAAGTAGCTTCAGAAGTTTATTACAGGTCAGACTTCTACTCCAAGGGTGGATGTGAACCTAATGAAACTGGTGATCAGAATCAACTTATTCTTAACAAACCCTGGGTATGGAGCTTGTGTTCTCCTCTGCCCTGAATGAACGTTAAATCTTGAACATTGTGCTGTGGTGTAGGTGTGTGCTTTCTGTATTGCTAAAGTGTTATACACAGTGCTTTCTTCTACATGCCTTAGGAACTTCCCATGCAGTACTGCACTTCCTTTTCTAATTTTATCTATTCATCGTGTGTAGCCTTGGTTTGATTCCTTTTTCTATCCCACTTTTCCATCTTGTAAAAAAGTTTGTTTTCCTTTCTTTTGCTTTACAAAGAAAGAACAGTAAAGAATCTGTCTACCACCTTCACTCTGTGTCCTCCTGAGAGAAAAAAATGCCTGATTTGAGTTGGAAATGACCTTAATAGATTTTTGGGATGTTTTGGGTGACTGGTTAAAAGAAACTGTACTTGCCAGTACTAAATTAATGAAGAAACGTAGAAACTTATTCATCCTTGAATGTTTGATCAGTTTTCAGAGATTATGGCTTAAATATGTAAGGTATAGTTTGTATTCTTCGTGTGAAATTAATGCCAGGGTTAAAATACGACAGACACAGCAGCTAGAGGACTTGTATAATAGAACTGGCTATACTGGGATTTTATTCTAAGTGTTAAATGAAACTTAAAAAATGTGTAGTGCCAGCCTGCTGAGTTTCTCAACATTTTGTTTTGCTGTCAAGCTGTTTATGGAGGCAGCATTGCCTGCTTTGGCAAAGGACTGATTAATTTTTATAGATAGCAAGGCTTGGGTTATAAATTTGAGTGTGTAAATGGCCACCCAATATGTAAGTTTCGCAGCCAGCGAATTATTACCAACAGCTGAGTAAGCATTTACCTCCTTTCAAGATCTGTGATGTTCAGTTCACTCTTCAGTTATCTGAATGGCTTACATGTTTTAGCTCTGTGTTTCTAGGTCCTTTAACAGTCTTTTGTTCTTTGTCCTTTGTGCATGGAGATTTACTTGTAAAGAGAGCATTGCCGTTAGAAGCCATGTACAATTCCTGGACAAACTGCAGTCAAAAGTGCAGTATTCCAGCTACCTAAGAATATAGTCAGAGAATATGATTTTTTTCTAATATAAATATTTCTTAATGGGTTTAAAAAAAACCCTTAATGCTCTCCTTTTCAATTAAAAACAGATTTTCGGCATGGATTTAAGGAGTGCTCTCAACAGCTGCAAACCACTCTGCAACAGTAAACAGATTTCTTGATTGTCATTGCTTCTGTAACATACCTAGAAATTTAAAAAGCCTAAGAAAAAAAAATGATAATAAAAAAACCCCCTGAGTCCAAACAAACACACTGACCTGAAAATAATACTTTTATCTTCAAATAATACCTACCAGTAATGTTCTGTAGAAAAGTTATGAAAACTTCTTAATTGATGGATGTCAGCTAAGCTTTCTGTGCTTCATTTATGTTGGGGTATTTTCTGAGAGGGGAGGTGCTTGCCTAAAAATTGGTTAGCTGCAAACTTAAACAATTTTAACTGCAGATCCTTATTAAATTTTTTCTTAAATGAAATAAAAAAATGAAATTTTATGTACAACATAGATTTTGGGAATCTGCATCCTGCTGTTTTTCAGGGAAAACGAGACACTTCAAAACTGATCGGTGTTTCTGAAAATATACAGTTTTGTTGGGAGAGGGGTGAATAAATGTAAAACGTATTTTCAGAAATCATCATTCATTGCCAGTGGCACTAAATTTGACCTTAAAATTTAAGAGTGCAATTAGAGTGTCTTGTGGCAATAGTGTAGAGATCCGATTGTAAATGTGCAAGATTTCATGAATCCTTAAGAAGGTATTTTGTTAGACGTATATTTTTGCCTCTTAAGGTATCCAGAGCTGAAGGAAAACTTAATCCAGGAGAATTTTTGTAGCCTTGATGAATTTAATTTGCAAATATTGAATTACTTTATCTGTATGGACTTAATCTGATAATCCCTATGTTACTGCTTGGTCTGTTGTCACTTAAGACGCTCTTGGATTCTGATTTAGTGTCCTGAAATGAACAATGTGCTCCCCCTAGATCTCTTAATTTCTATATTTCTTGTATCTTTTTTTTCCCCCTTAGTTTAAGAATTTGATTTGCAATAATGCCACCCAGAAGTCTGCTCCCAGGGAGGAAAGCTGTACTAAGCTGTGGTTTAGTAATAGTCTTCCTTGGGTGGACCAGAGAGTCAGGATAGTAGAAAGTGAGGCTGCTGAATTTTTTTTCCGTGCAGTTTTCTGTTCAAGTGGCTCTACATTGCTGTCAGGGTGTTCTCTAAGGAATGCTGCACTTCCAGGTTTTATTTGCTGTATAATAATGTGATACAGAAATTTACATTCCTAAGGATTTGTTCATGCTAAGATAGTGTTCTTCCTTGATGCAGGTTGTTTTTACTCTTCCATGCCACAACTGATATTTTTAGAATAAGGGGTTTTTTGTTTGCTTTTAATTTAAGGCATGTTAACTTTTCAGAGTGGAAGATTGTGCAATTTCTTTTGTTTCCCTAAAATAGGAAAAAATATATTTGGAGGAATATTTTGGGATATTCCTTGGTGTATATTTTTATTACGTTTGTTTATTTATTTGCTTGGGTGTCATGTTTGGCAGGATGGAGTTTTCAAGATGAATCTTTCTCCTGATGGAGCTCTTTTGGCAGCTATTCATTTCTCAGGAAAACTGACAATCTGGTCTATTCCATCTCTCAGACAACAAGGAGAATGGGACCAAACTGCTCAGGTAAGAAAAATGTGTATGTTTAAAAACTTGAATTATATATCTTACTCTTCTGAAAGTGTGTTTTTGTAGGAGATGAGAGGAGTTTGGATAAGGGTGTGCTGGCTACATACTAACTTCCCAGTCAGCTCCATGTTTGTCAAGAGCCCTATGCTTTTATAATAATCTTTCTGTGTTATCCCCATAGACTGTAAACCTGAAGCAATTACGTTACAATGAATTTTTCATGAGGCATTTTGGTGCCAAGCAGGTAACACTGTTAGAATTAGACTACTATACCATTAGACTGAAATGCTGTTACAGAAGAACAGGCTGACATAGGTAAATTTGTTTCAGTGGTCGAAACCAAATTCTGCTGGATGTCTTAATGTATTCTATTCCTCCTTCAAAATTTAGCATACCTGGTTCCAGATGATGCTCTAGAATATTTTCTTAATCAGTTTGCTATTAAGTTTAATGCTTTCTACAGGAATTGTTTGCAAAACTAAGTAGGGGTACTTACATTAAGAATTACTCAGACACTGGCAAACTTTTACGGGACTTGGATGAATTTAAACGCTGGGAATTTAAAGCTAATTAATTTTCAAAGAAAAAAATAGGACTGTATTTTAATGAGGAAATACATTCTGAAAAGTGAAAAATCTGAAACGATGCACACTAGTATGTAAAGTGTTCTGATTTTCCTCCCATTAATTTCTTGACTAATAGACAAAGAAAGTCTTTTCACTTGAAGTACTGTGTGTTATGTTCCAAACCTATGAGACATAAACCAGTATTAGTTCCAAACAGAGTAAACAAATGGGATTGAAATGTAATTTCAAGCTTATTTAGAAAAGCATTTTTAAGCAACCAAAACAAACAAATAAAACCTCAAAGAAATTCTGCTCTAGTGTTGGGCTAAGTTGTGTGTCTGTATATGCATATCTTATGCATATCTATCTATTTATAATACACACTTTAGACAAATTTTGCTCAAGGATGTTTACAGTGAGTTGTACGTCTTTCTTTTTAGCAATACAGAATATGTATTCTGAAAGAGCATTTGGGACTTTATAGTTCAGTGAGGGTGATATAAAGGAATATTTAGTGCTTGATTGTTCTCAGAATTTTTTTATAAGTCAAACTGGTGTCCATTATACTTGTACACAAGTATAATGTGTATTTTCATAGTATGTGTGAAATTAACTTAGAGTGGTCTCATGTTTACTTTTAATTAGTATACTCTCCTCTTTCTACTGAAAAATGAAGTCTAAAGAACACCTTCTGCTTGACCCACATGTGCTTTAGTTATTTTGGCTTCCACTGTGTTGCACTCAGGGACAGGATTTCTGTCACTGCTAAATCAGGTTTGAAACAACAGCACTGCAACATAATTCTAAACCTTGCAGTGCATCAGTTAATAATACTGCTCCTTTTCTTGCACTAGTCTTGAAAGGGGCTTTATGATTCTGAAAATAGCTGGGGAAAATACTTACACGACTGTGCTAGACTGTCACAAGGCCACTACACAGACTCCTTCGGAGATTATTTTTTGTGCCTGCAGTCCTATGTATAGACATGAAAAACAAACACTTGGCTTTTGATTGCTGGAGAACCTTTATTTCAGAGATCTTTAGAGTATAATTACTGTTTAAAGCTAGTCAGACCACGAGTTACGGTTTTGTTTTGTTTTTTGAATTGTCTGTAGAAAGGTACAGTGGAACTGCAACAGTTGTATGTTTATCCTTTAGAAGAGTTTGAATTTATAGTTTGAAAAATGAGTGGGTCAGCAACAGAGTAAATAAACAGATTCTGTGTTACAAAGATTTACTTGCATATAATTTTTTTTTCTATTTTGTTTAGCCAGGGTATGATGAGCTTAACCCAGACTGGAGACTTTCTAGTGAAAAAAGAAAGAAAATAAAAGGTATGCAGTACAGTTAGATCATTATTTTATATCACTGTGTAGTTAAAAATAGTAATGCAAATATATGAAGACTGAAATGGCTTAATTAAACCTCAGTCAGGTTGCCAAAATTGCATGATTTGAATTTGTAGCATGGCAGAGCTAAATGAGTGTCATAATAGTTTTTTTTTTTTTCGGATTCTCTCTTAGGAATGCTTTTATATCCATAAAGAAGTTGATATTTCAGTTAGCATAGGATTTAATCTTTTCTTCCAGTGAATATCTAATAAATCTTGAAAGCTACTGTAATCTAAACATATCAGTTTAAAATTCTAAAAACAATTCTAAAACAAATTTCCTCTGACTGGATTTACCTCATCACTCTCTATTGTTTTCAGGCCAACCTGTGCAGCCATTTAGCACCTGGTTATTATGGCTGTTTCAAGAGTGCAGAGATGAATAGTTATTCCATGATCCATTTGCTGCTGTTTGTACACATATATATTGTGTATATATTATTAAACTAATATTAATATTATTAAAAGATTCCTGTTTTTTGCGTAATTTTTCTTGGTGATTCTGTTTTTGGATTAATTGATCTGACCTTTGTAGGTAGGCTGCTGATTAAGCACTGTTAAAAAGAATAATCTGACCTGTTTCTTAGAGCTGTTTGGGGAAAGGTTGTTTTCATCAGAGGAGTGGAAAGTGATGTGTGGGGAGCAAAATGAGCCTGCTCTTTGGTGAGCATTTCATCCCAACACCCAGTAACCATATCAAGACAGTGACTAGAAATGCCACAGCTTCCATCCTCAGTCTTAGAGACTTTCTTGTTTATTTGTTTTTTTAGTTTAATATTCCTAACAATGTCCTTTTGAAATATGTTGGTATGTTTACTTGTCTTCAAAAGAAGTGTAGACTTTTCTAATTTTCATGAGTATTAGGTTTGTTATGTTGAAGATGGCTTGATAGGTAATGAAGTAGATCTTTATCAAAGATCAAAAATCTGTCACATTTTGTGCAAGTGAATCAGTTTACGGTGAATTTTTTCCAAATAATTTAAATTTGTAATTAGGTGATTTTTTTGTTTTTAACAGCTTTATTTAATATAAAAATGATTTAGTAAAACCATTGATTTAAAATATAAAGTTGATATAAAATATATACTTACTGAAGCAAGGTTGCAAATATACAGTAAATATCTGTTAGATTAGACTATATTTCTTCATAATGGAAGTCTTTTCTGTTTGTACCTGAGGTTTAACATTATATTTCTGTATATGGCACTTTCTTATTTTAGATAAAGAATCCTATTACCCATTGATAGATGTAAATTGGTGGGCAGATAATTCTGTCATCCTTGCTCGCTGCTCTGGTGCACTGACTGTGTCATCAGTCAAGACGTTAAGAAACCTGCTGGGAAAGGCGTGTGAATGGTTTGAGAGCTCTCCTCAGGTCACTTCGGCTCACGACGGAGGATTTCTAAGTCTGGAGGTGAGGAATGTGCATGAGCAGGTGTCCTTCTGGAATGCAGTGTGACAGTTTGCTTTTTTGTATGTGATCCTAAGTTAGGGGGGCTGAAATAGAAGATACTACTACTAATAGGAAAAGTGATTCTGCTTCATTTTCTGTAGATAGGCATTGCAGGGAGATTCTGAATTTGCTGCAGCTTAACTGTTCCAAGAAAAACTTGATAAAATAAATAGATAACTTGTGGAGAGTAGAAGCAAAACCTCCTGGAAGACTGAGTCTCAATGAGAGCAAACTTGCAATAGAAAAGCATTTGTGTTGACAGTAACCTTACCCTATATGTCAGTGCATCTGAAGAACACTGCAGCCATACCTCTTCCACTTTGAAGTACATGGCTCATAAAGAAAGAGTGAACACATTGAAGTTAGACATGAGGAAGAAGATGAAGGCAGAGACATGTAAAAGCTGCATATAAAAGCCACATTTTTTGTTTATTTTTAATAGGATTCCAGAAGGGAGTAGAATATAACAAGGTTAATCAGTAATTTTCTTTGAAATGGAGAAAATTACTCTATTCTAAAGCTTATATGGAAATAGATCTTAAACATCTTAATCAAAAGTTTAACATTAGAATCAGAAAATCTCAGTAGGCACCAAAGCTTGAGCATGTGTTTTTGGAAAGTTGTGTTATTCTGGAAATAATATATGCAGCCAGTGACTGGCATACTACAGCCTAAGGATATAGTCTGAGATTGTGTTGAACAGAAGACCTTGCTTTGAATAGCTGAGAGTTGAAGACACTCCTTTATGCTGCAGTGAGCTATAGAAAAGCATAGGAAGGTGTCTCCACTGTTCTGCCCCGTCTTGACTGATGCAGGGTGTGCAGTGTAAAGGCAGGTTATTAACAAGCCTTCACTTTGGTAGGTGAGGGATGAAGCCTCAGATCCGGAAGACAGGTGCAGTCAGAGTTTGTGGAACAGGTTAAGCAAACTGAGAAACAAAGGTTTTAAAGGAGAGAGGAGGAAGGATGTTGATTCTGACATTTGAAGTCCTGGAAGTGGAGATGTACTCAGTTCTTACTAAAGTAGTTTAGGTGTGCTAGGTGGATGCTTCTTGTTGATGTTTTCTGTGCAGTGTGAGGTGAAACTTGTCCCAAAAAGACTGCGCTTGGACAGCAGGCCTGGTGATGAAGATGAGGGAGAAGATGATTCAGACTCAGATGATGAAACTTCTGCTAAGGACAGATACTTCAGCTACCTAAAGCAAGGACTGTACTTTGTGACAGAAATGGAACGATTCGCTCCTCCACGGAAACGACCGCGTACTATTACAAAGAATTTTCGCCTTGTCAGCTTAAGATCCACAACTCCAGAGGAGCTGTACCAGAGAAAAGTAAGTGTAGATGGAAATACCACATTTCTCTTAATCACCTTTATTTAGAAGGAGCTTTTTAATTCCTGCTGTTCTGACAAAAGGACTTAGGCACACATTTCTGACAGTCTCTTAACTCTCAGTGTGCTGTGTCACCTGATCAAAGGGATCCTTTTTTTTAAACTAGCATTATAATAACTGAAATGAGGTGATGTTTTCCCTGGGAGACGCTGTGCGTCATTGGCTTGGCTAGACTTGAACATGTGTTTGCATGTAGTGAAACACTTTGCAAATATATTGAATGAAATCAGTTTAATTTTTTGGCCCAGGAGTGGGTTAACTTAGAGTCTTCTGTGAATGTTTTGCATGTTTTTTCAGATATATGTACAGATTAGGCCTCTGACTCATTATTCCCAAACAGATTGTGCTTCATTTTTAGGGCTTTTGATCTTAAGACTGCTTTGTCTTAAGCCATTCTAGTTATTCTGTTGGTCAACAAGCCCACTCTGTAACTACTGCAGTTCCCAGGGAATGCTGATGTCAAACTAAATAAGATGCATAGCTAATATGATGTTACCTAAATAACGTCTTCCTTTCATATGAGGGGAAAATCTCTGATTTTCTGGAGGTGTCCATTAGGTCTGAATCTTATTTGTATCTTGAACCAGTCTCTTTCCTACCTGCTTATGCATACTCAGCAATTATCCCTCTGCCTTTTTAAACTCACAGAATTAACAGTTCATTGTTCAGTATGGAAATCAAATTACTTCAATTTTAATATGTTTGCTTTTTAGATTGATAATGAAGAATATGGGGAAGCTTTGTCTTTAGCTCAAACGTATGGCCTTGATTCTGATCTTGTGTACCAAAGACAGTGGAGGAAGTCAGCTGTTAATGTTGCTTCAATTCAAGACTACTTGGTGCGTTTGTGTTTTGTGATTTTTTTTTTGTTTTTGTTTTTTTTTAGGCTTTCTTATCAGACTGACTGTGTTATCTTTACAGAAATGGAATTCTTAATTGTATTCTAATTTATGCAACGTAAATTGGTGGCAGTTTGAAGAATTGTCCTGCAAATTCTATTTCATGTCATGTGTAAGAGAACAATTTAACTGAAGGCCTGATCTAGAAACCTTGGCAGTTAATGAAATTTCTTTTGGAATATCTTCTAACTTCTGTTAATAGTAACACACTTCCTGTGTGTAATCTCTTTCCCCACATGCAGCAGTAGATTATTGCCTGGCAAATGGAGAATAACAATTGGAAATATCAACTGTTTAAATTTCCAGTTATTACAGAAAATAAATTGGGAAGGTGAAGTTGGTAGCAGTAGCTATATCACAAAGTTTGAATAACAAAATTTACAGAGAACTCTGTGAACTGTAACTGAGCTTTTCAGTAGAATTGACATGGGAGATTTTTGTCTTGGAAGAAAGACTTGTAAGTCAGCAGAAAAATGGTGTTGAAGTTGTACAAACTTATGGTTGTGGTAAAGTATTAGTAATAGAAATATACTGTTAGTATAGAATAGGAATATAAAGTTTAGTATTAGTCTAGTCGATATAGTATTAATAATATAGGTATATATATAGTAGTAAGGATAGGTATGTTAGTCTAGGCTAAAATATTACAAGAGATCAAGATAAACGTAATTATTTTTTTTTCAACTCAGATACTGACTGAGTGTCAAAATTTAGCCTTTCTCTATGTGATCTGTAATTTCAACCAAAGATCATCAGTTAAGGCAAATGTATTTTGTAATTCTGCTGCCTTTTCTGTCACAGAATCTCACTGGCATATGAAGAAGATATTATTGAAAATGATTCTAGTGCTATTGTACCATATATATACTTGGTTTATAAAACACATATTTTACCCCCAAACCAGCACATTTTATTTAGTGTAGAAAGGAGTGATGTTAATTGGAAAATACAAATAACTTCGGTTCCAGTTCTTGTGGAAGTTCTCCTAAATCATTTGGTATTTCTGTGCCCTTTTCTGCCACACATACTCTGAAGGAATTGTATTTATTGTGCTCTCATCTCTTTTGTTGGTTTGCATTGTCAGTCACCAGAGGAGCTTGACATTTTCTTAAGTGGAAGAAATATGTGAGGAAACTTAAACATAATCTCTGGTTCCATTGCTTTGGATTGGACCATGTAACATGGTGTCTGTGCTCTTGTTCTTGGGCAGAGCAAAATCAAGAAACGTGCATGGGTTCTTCATGAGTGCTTGGAAAGAGTTCCAGAAAATGCGGATGCTGCTAAGAAGCTGCTTCAATATGGCTTGAAAGGCACAGACTTGGAGGCTCTTGTGGCCATAGGAAAAGGAGAAGATGGTGGCAGGTTTGGGAAGAGTATTTTTTTTGTTTTCTTTTTAAAGAATGGTATATAAAGTATTTTATAGTGATTTGGTAAAATTTTTTTCTTACCAGCTGCTAGTGAAAATATTGAGAAGCTTTGGCAAGACATAAAGATAGGTCATGCTTTGACTCAGACTATTCTGTAGATGTCCACAAAGTACCTATAAATTTTCCTCTGTATGTACAGAAAATACAGTGTTCATTGCAAATACAAGCCCTGTAATTTATTCATCAGAGGGAATTTATGATGTCAGTATTTTACTACGAGACTCTTCTTCTCTTGATACTTTTCAAAGCTGCAGTTAACCCTATAAATGTGTTTTGTTACATGTCTTAATTGTATTGATCAAGCAGAAGCAAGACACACTAGAGACAATTCTCAGTGTTCAGTTTCTGGTGGTAGAAAGAGGGTGTTCTTTCTTTGTGCAGTCCTCTATTACCATTGCATACTATCGAGCTGCTGCCAATCCCACTGCTGGCTATGGAATTTAGAAACTTAACCCGTTTGGTTTTGGTTTGTTTTAGGGAGTGGAAACAAGAGTTGGTGTCTCTTGTTGACTTGGGAAGAATCCCTGCTTGTTTGTAACAAAAAAATTCAGTATTTTTTTATAAATACCCAGATTTTTTGGCAAAACATACACAAAAAACTGTTTTAATATGTCTCTTAAAAAATCAGTTCACTTTTTTTTTTCTCCCTTCATTGTTTACATTGTTGATTTTGTCTTCCAGATTTATCTTACCAGGGGAAGTGGACATTGAAATTCCCTATGAAGACTTTCTGTCACCAGATGAAGAAATGGATACTAGAAAGGAAAAAGAGGCCAAAAAGCGTCAAGAACTGCTATTATCAGTAAACTTCTCAAAGTAAATGAAATGCTAGGCCATGTTTTATTCAGAATTACAGGTTTATAATAACTACACAGTTGCAAAACCATAATTAATTACTCTTCTATATATTATTCCTATGAGAAAAGTGGTTTATCATTGACATTGTATTTTGTCCAAGTTCTTAGTTTACTTTATTTATTGATATATCCCAGTGCACAAAGTCATTAAAATGTGTTATCTTTGTATTCATATGTACATGATGTAAAATATTGATGGCAAATGTGAAAATCCCTGTTCTGAACACAGGCTGACACTGGAACAGAAGGAGCTCTGCCGTAGCAGGCTGAAGCTGTTAACTTACCTTGATCGCCTTGAGACCTATGAGGTGAGTTCTTCTGAGTTCTCACACCAAAGCTATTCCTGCAACTTCAGCATCATATAATCTTATCCTTTTTTGTTATTTATTGTGGTATTAATGTTTATGGCCTTGCTGAAAGGCTACAGTCTGTCACTGTTTTCTGTTCAAGTGACTGTTTCAGAAGGATGGCTTCTAGTCTTGAGAGGTGCAGTTGGGCAAAAGCCTGCTTTGAACATCCTGTGTCTGCAGGGAACTGAATTATGCAATTACATGGGATGTGGAGCTCAGGCAGGATTGCTGTGATTTCTCTGTCAGTCAAATTGGCAAGTTCTGTGCAGTTTCTCTAACAGATCTTTTTCTTCTTGAGCTTACCAGTGTGAAAGTTTTTGGAATGTCAGACTATATTTTGCTAAGTTTTTAAATTTTAAATTTGCAGTTCGCAATGCACACCACTCCCATTTTGGCTTTTACCATGTCTATGTAACTAATGATGTCTAAGCCTTAATTAAAATAAGGCAGAAAATTGTCTTAGCTTATCAACCAAAAATGCATCTGTTTTTTTCATACTGAAACAAAAAACCCAGCATACTTTTCAGCATATATCTCATACTTACTCATCCTAGGCTGGAAAGATGTGTAGACTTTTTGATGCTTTTGTAAATCTTGTATAAAAAGCAGTCTTTTTTTTTTTTAAAGGAAATCCTTGGAGGGCCTCATGCAGCTGAGCAGCATTATGATGGAGAATTCTTTAAGAAGTTCAGAAATCAGAATATCGTACTTTCAGCAAGAACTTATGCTCGGGTATTAATATTTATGTTGCTAGAATGCAGTGTCATTTTGGTGTTGCTCTTTGCACTAAAATGCTTTTTCCTCCTCCCTTTGAACTTGCTTGCATCTCAGTGGAAATTTAAGAGGTGGTGTCTTTGTTTGATTTTAAATATTAAATGCTGTGACCCTGACCTTATCTTCTTTGTTGCTAAAGAAAATATAAAAATGAACTATTCATTGTATGACCTAAGCTTTCTTGCTCATTTTCAGTCAAAATCAATCTTAAGCTCTGCAACTTACTGTTCTGTTCTTTAGGAAAGCAACGTCAGAGCCCTGGAAATTTTGTTCACTTTCCATGGATCAGCTTTACTTCCACACAGACAGGCGATTCTCTCCAATTTTCCAGAGACTACCTCACCACATGAGTATGCTTTGCTGTTACCTGAAGCTTGGTAAGGATGCATCATAGATACTAGCTCAAAGAGAGATGATTTTTAGATTAAATCATGAATTTAGATTATGAATTAGTTTCCATGTATGGCAGTCTGCCATTGGTTATTATCTGGAATTGAGAGCACGTTTGTCTGTATGGGTCTTGACTTGACCAGTCGTCATTTTCTGCTTTACTTTGTGCCATTTGTGGAATCCTATTGGTCATTAACAGGAAAGTAGGGATTCTTTGCTCTGTTACATAGCTAAGAGGGAACATGGACTTTTCTGACCTGCAGCTGCCCAGATTTTCACATAGTACAGGTCTTTAATTGGTTTGTGGTAATAGCCAGTGTTAGGAAATGCATATTACAAGGGTTTAGGTCTCTGGAAGCAAATACATTTTTCTGGATTTGTTTTGTGAAGTCATTAACACTTAAGCAGTCAGTAACTTCAGAATCATTAATTTTCTTGATACTGATTCTTGTTCAACTTGGTAAGGTAGCATTATGAAAAGCTTTAAGTACAGACTTTCCTACTATTTAATTTCAGCATAAAAAGTTAATTTACTGTAAATTTCACCTAAATTTTTGTAAGAGAGTCTTCCTTGAACATCATAATTATGTCCTGTATATTAATTAGAAGATTTCTTTGCTTTTAGAGTGTTTCTTTTAGACACTTCAATTATTAAATTAGTTTTGAATCATACTGTTCAGTGCTCATAATGAGATGGACAGATTTTATTATTTGGTATTTTACAATAGGACTTTGAAGCCTTACTTGAGAGGGAAACATTTTGGAGGAGCTAATGGAAATTTTTTTTTTTGTAGTCTTCCATTATTATAGTTAAGCTTTTCACTTCAAGGTTTTACTAGTCCCATTTGGGCAATTCTCCTTTTAGAATAGGGTTTTTCAATTAATCAAGTTATTCTCCTGAAACTTTTCCTAACTTAAAATATCAGTTTTGTCATCTCTGAAGAAAAAGAGCTGTCATTATTTCATGATAGCTAATGCTTCCCTTTTTATTTGTTGGTAGTATTGGGAATACATTTAGTGATTTAGTTAAGGTGTGAAAACACCTGTATTATCCTTTTCTATAAGGTAGAAGTTAGGACCATGGAGAGATATTATTGGAGTGTTTACAAAATTGGTAAAACGTATTCCAGTTTTTCCCTTTTGTTAAGGTTTAGAACGTGAGAAACACAGAAGAATGGTCATCTTAAATGTGGCTCTGATCTATTGTTGGTCATAAATAGACTCACATGTTTCTGAAGGGTTATTCTTGGTTTTGGTTTTTATTTTATATTGTTGTTTGGTTTGTTTACAAAACTGACTTACGTGCCAAGTGGCAAGATGACAGCTAAAATACAGCATTTCACTAGTGATCTAGTAGTAAAGATGTGAAGTTATGGGGTAAGAACTTAGTTTTGTCTGCTATTGAAAAGTATATATTTTTAATCTTTATTCTCATAGCAGACAGAACTTTCCAGTGCTAGGATTAGGTTCACACTTTATATCCCTCAGATTGCAGAATAGACAATACTGTGTGTCTTTTGAAGTTTTTGTCTTTGGACAACTACAAAATGCAGATGAGATCAACCCCTATATACACAAATCCCATATACTTATAAAAACATAAAAATACGCTGTATATTTTACATAACCTTTTTCTAAAACCATTTCTCTGTTACAAAACTGATTGCTCACATATCATTAAATATACTCCCTAAAATATATTTTATTAATGTAAATAAATTAAATATGTACTGATGACAATATCTATTAATAGAGAATAACATGCTAATGAAAGAGATTTAAGTTGTATAAAGTAAAATTTTCTTCCTATTTTAAGGAGGCTTCTGGCAATCTTTATTTCATGTGAATCAAAGAGAATTGAAGTTCTTAGTCATTTTCTGTGAGTTTATTGTCCTTTTAGTCTGGCATTTGTTTTTTAAGGAGTTTATTAGTATGGATAAAATTACTGACATTATGTAGATATGTTGTCATTGTTATAAAATATCATGTAAATAAGTGATAAGTGTGCTGTCTAGTTTTCTTCGTATTAGAAGAGAGTAAGTAATTTGCTCTAAATGAACAGATTGAGCAAGATTATGATAAAATTTATTCATTCCCACAGAACATTAAAAAGTTGTAAGTAGTGACTGTAATTAATATGCTTCTGAACAAAGGAAAAACATTACAAAATTATAAACCCCAGTGTTGTAATTAGTAGAAAAAATATTGCAGCATTACTACACAGTCTCTTTAGCTTATGTAGCTTCTAGAGAAGTGTTTCAGGACAAGTGAGAGTGCATCAATCTGTGTTGATGAACTTTTAATTTAGGCAAATAGATTTGAATCAGGAAATGACTGTTGTTTTTTCTGACAATTCTTGGTTGCAATGTCTGTAGCAGCCGATTTCAGCAGGGTATTTGGTTGCTGTGCTGCGTGTGATGAGACCACTGACAGAGATCAGCTGATGGCACTGCCTGTTTAAGAGTGCAGCCTGATCCAGTGGCCTTGCTTAAAGAACACCTTGTTGATATGCCTTTGTTGCTCAGTTTCCTGCAGCCCAGACCCCCTGCTAATCAGAAACTATTTTGGTGGAGGTGTCTTCTATGTCTTCGTATCTGGCTGTGTGTAGGATGAAACCCTGTTTTGGATTTACAGTATTGTGTCTGTGTACATGGCACACTTAGAACAGTGAGGGGGTTGATTCCCAGCTGGAGCTCTGTGAGGTGACACTTATCCCTGTGGGAATTCACTGCATTGCTCTATGCTCACTTAGTTCTTCCATCTCTAGGGGAATCTGGCAGAGGAAAAACATGAGATTGTATAGCAGGTGCTGCCTTGTTAGTGCATGGAGCAGGTGAGGTGTCTAAATAGGCACCTCCATCTACAGCCAGGGTAAGAACATTGAAACAGTTGCTTGCTGTGCACCACCACCAACGCGAATACACATACAAGTGCTATATATGAAGGATTTCCTAACCTTTAAGAAATGTTTTTGTAAAGGTTGTCTTATAACTGTTCATTTGCATCCTCCAGTTCAACTGCTGATAGTAAATTCTAAGTACCTACTGAAAGAAAAGCTCCTTTGTTTAGTGCATTCTATAGGCATAAAGCAGGTGTTTTTCTTGTACTTGGACATGTTATTTACATTAAGATGGCATTTAAAGGGCATTATCACAAAAATTTGAGATCTTGTCAGTCAAGGAAGACATAACAGAAGGCATAATAAAAAAAGAAAAAAAGTTGGTTTCTTTTTCCCTTTTGTGGCAGGTTATTAGGTAATACATATTTTTTTCCTGTATCTCCTTGTAATAAGTCTCAAATGGTAGATATCCTTTTGTTTCTCATTTTTGGCACATATTTTATAGCTTAGCATCTTTTGGGGTAACTCAGAACAGTTCAGAAGTTCTCTTTCTAAGCAGAGAATTTATTCATATTATTTCTCAGCTTCTTTTATAATGATGGCTCCTGTGTCTCTGCTTTCTCTTATTGGGATTCATGCACTTTCTCAAAGATCCATCAGAAGCACAGACTGTATCTGTTAGGACAACTTGAATGAAGGTGGTAGGAGTTTAGGTACTCAGAGGAGCTGATAGCTCTTTTTAATCTCTGTTTTAATAGCTGTAGCTAGTGTTCTTAATCTGTAGTTAAGACTGTTGCCCTGAGGTTTTTAAATGTGATCCAGGAAAATAGTGTTTCACCACCGTTATAAATACATAACTAGAGCATTTTTCTATTTTTTTAAAGTTTCTTATCCTTTGTATTAGGCTTAACTGCTGTATTGTAACATTACTGCTCACATTTTCAACTCACACAAGTCTGGAACTTCAAATGTATGGTTCCCTCAGCAGCCATAAGTCTGCTATATAGCACATTATGCTATAGTAAAAATCTTCCCCTTAAGACAGCAACTTTTTATATGTTGCTGTGTTTTTGCTTCTTAACTTTCTCAAATACTGGTGTTCAGTTGTGACATAAACTGAATTTTTATTGGAGAATTGTGGATGAACTCCATTTGCCTGATGGACTGGGATGGGAATGTGGAAGTATCTCCTAAAAACTTACTGAAGGTTTTAAAACCTGAAGATTTCCATGTAGTTGACTTTCATCTATGAGTAAGTACTGCTAAGAGTTCATAAGCAGTAACTTTGTCTTTCCATAATGATACCTTCTCCTGAATTAGGTTTTTGGTTATTGCCTGTGGCACTGCAGTTTCAATAAAGCTCTTAGAGCTTCATCTCTTCCTTTCCTTATGTGTGAATGTAAGTAGTTTTGGTAACAGAATGTCTGCAGAACTGTCTAATATATAGTCCCCTCTTTTTCATACTATTTTTTTTCTTGTAAAGCTGAACTGCCTTTGTTTTTAGTGTAATTCAGTGGTGTTCACATTTAAAGAATTAATCCCATGGTGAGTTCTGGTTTTGAATTTGCTTGAATTCCTTTGTATAGTGCTATAGTGAAAATAATAAGGGCGTATGTTTCATATGCATGTCTTTTTTCTCTGCACTAACAGGAAGAAAAAAACAGTTCAGAGGAAGAAGTGTGATTAATATTATTTCAAGGATGTATTAGGTAGAAAAAAATAGCAGATCTTACCTTCTACTATAAAGTAGAAAAAATAATTCTGGAGAAAAAGATTAACTTGTCATGATGACACTCATGCTCTTGTCTCGATTGACTTCTGGTAGGAGCAGGGAATGTTCTTGTCCATGTGAAAAATAGAGCAGTGGTTTGGGGGAGGAGAGACTCTTCTGCAAACTGCTTGTGTGCAAATCTGTGATAATAGTAGGAATAGCTCATTATAGCCAGGAGGCTGCTGCAGACAGTGAGCTGGTGAAAGTACCACAAATGTTGGTTGTGAGGAGTTTTGAGGAAGAGATTGAGACTTGAAGCCATGGGGGAGATGTGGAGAACACGTACTGCCAGGGAGGAAGGAGGGAAGTTTCACAGAACCTGCTGGAGCTGAGCTGTCATTCAGCTGAGAGAGATGAGTGTGTTCAGCATGGAGAAG